ACGTAGCAGGTTACCGTTTTAATTTTCACAACCCTATGAGTAGTGTATTAACCCTAACGTATAAAGTAGGAACCTGACGTGTAGAGGTTCAGACAATCCCAGGGTCAGGAGCTATAGAGTTCTGACCCAAGTCTTTGGGCTTCTACTTTACTGCCTCCTCATCTCCTTTTTAACCACAAGTAGCAATCAAATGCGCTTGCACCGAAAGCAATTCATAACCTTGATGTGCAGGACAGGTGTCCCTGGCTTGGGTTGCAGTTTGAGCTCCCTACCTCCTTTCTGGACTCACGTGTACCTCTTGTTCTCCAGATTAATAATCATTGCATGTTTAAGCTAGCACACATCTGATGAATATTTAATGACATTGAGCAGACAGGCTGGAAACAGCTGCCTGAGACAGCAGCTGTTGGGGGGAGGGGAAGACATGTACTACACTGACTACCATTCTTTTGTTTCCTTCCTGAGAAAAAATAAGCCTGTCCCTTCTAGGCCTCTTGGGAGCAAAGGCCTATGGTAGGCGCTGCACTGCAGTCTTAATTGGCCCTGGGCACAAGTACACTCCAGCAGCGAACTACACGCATTTGGGGAGAAAATAGCAGAAATATTCACTCACATCTAGAATCAATTTTCTAACCCCTCTAGACTGGAGTTTCCTATTCTCTTGTCTTTTCTGGGACGAGATCTGAGTATATGTTCTCAACGAGCCATTTCTTTCTTAGGAAAGATAATTTGTATCTGGAAGGGACTTAGAGTCATGTCAGTACACCTTAGCTTGTCTTTTCTTTTTCAGACAGTATCTTGCTATGTAGTTCAGGATGGCCTTGAACTCACCACATAGCAGAGGGTGGCCTCACACCCGTCCTCCTGCCTCAGCCTCTCAAGTTCTGGGATTCCGAGTGCACCACCACACCCAGCTTGCACGTTAGCTACGCAACACCCCTTGACCATACATGCTCAGTAGAGATTGTCATCCTCATTCCTAACAGGCACTGTGGCGTTTGTCTTTTTTTTTTTTTTTTTTGCGGAACTGGGGATTGAATTCAGGCCCTTGCGCTGGCCAGGGAAGTGCTTATTCCACTGAACCATCTCCCCGGCCCTTGCATTTGTTTTTGATTGTATCTCAGGCAGGAAATGGGCAAGTGAGACAAAGCTACTGCTAGCTTTATGCCTCCCTCCATGTGGATCTAGGGAACTTCCTGCTTTAAGGAAGCTTTGGAAAGGTTTTGGGATGCCTAAGAAAAAGACAGCATATTTGAGATGTTGCTAGACAGCATGCATCACAGCCAGATCACTAGCCCAGATCAGTCTGCTAAGTAGAATACCTGGCTAGAAACTTGGGTACTTTTTCTGATTTTTTTTTTTTAAACAGGATCTTGGGGGGCTGTGGAGATAGCTCAGTTGAATAAGTGCTTGCCTGGCAAGCGCAAGGGCCTGAGTTCAATCCCCAGCTCTGAAAAAAAAAAAAACAAAAAACAGGATCTTGGTGCCAGGGAGATGGCTCAGTGGAATAAGCGTTTCCCTGGCAAGGGCAAGGGCCTGAGTTCAATCCCCGGTTCTGGAAAAACAAAGCAGGATCTTGCTATGTAGTGCAGGTTGGCCTTCAACTCACTATAGCCCAGGCTGGCTTTGAACTCATGACAGTGTTCCTGCCTCAGCCTCCCAAATGCTGAGACTAAGGGCATATGCCACCATACCTGGCCAGTCTTTTTTATCTTAATACTACATTACGATACTAGAATTAGTTACTTCCTTATTAGCCTCTCAGGCCCAGCCCACTTCAGGAAAGCTAGTCTTTTTACGCAGGGGACCACAGTATATGTGAGAACTCAGGGTAGGACAGTTTAGAGTGCCAGGGTAAATTCCTCTCTGGGGTCTTCTACTCCAGCAGATGTAAGGTGTGTGCTACCTGTCAGCCTTTTGGGGTTGTATATAGGAAACAGTCTCCATGTGGCTCAGTGGTAGTGCCAGAATAGTTGCATTAGTATTCTTGAGGTCCTGTGTTCAATCCCCAACATTGGTTATACAAAAAGAGAAGGAAAAAAAAAAACAACACCACATTGTGTTTTGATATGATTCTTTGTGCACTTTTCTCCAGAAATCAATACAAATGCTTGGGCTGGTGAGATGGCTCAGTGGTCTAAAGCACCTACTTAGAACAAGCTTAGCAAAGCACAGGGACCGCGGTTCAATCCCCCAGCACCACATGCCAGCCCGCCCTGCCCCCTGGTGGGCTGAGCTGGCCACACACACACACACACACACAAATAAAACTTAAAAAAAAAAATACAAATGCTGCTTAGGCAGACACGGGGGGTCAGGGGTTTGATTCCTGGCCTGCCATGCCCACCTTGCCCCCAGGGCACACTGAGACAGGATTGAGACTGGGCAGATTGAGACAGTGGAAGCACAGGCCTCGCCTGTAATCAGAGCGCTAAAAAACAGGAAGGATCAGTCTGATCTGTGTAGTGAGACCCTGTAGATCCTGTACTAAATACATTTAAAAAAAGAAAAGAAAAATCAAAATCTATACAAATGATCCCTTTAAAAAAAAAAAAAGGGCTGGTGAGATGGCTCAGTGGTCTAAAGCGCCTACTTAGAACAAGCTTAGCAAAGCACAGGGACCGCAGTTCAATCCCCCAGCACCCAGCCAGCCCCACCCCACCCCCTGGTGGGCTGAGCTGGCCACACACACACATAAATAAATAAAGTTAAAAAAAAAAAAATGAGGTCTCACTATGTAGTTCAGCCTGGTCTAGAATTTGGTAGCGGTGCTCTTGCCTCAGCTGCACAAGCCCTAGGATCGCAGGTGTGCACCACCATACTTGGGTTTTGTTTCTTTTTATATTTACTGTTACAAATTGGAATACCTACTGTGTGCCTAGAACTGAAAGTTCAGTAATGAACAGCATAAAGTGGTCCTGGGCCTGGCATGGTGGTACACACCTGTAACCCCAGCACGTGAGCTGAGGCAAGTGGGCTGCCACAAGTTCAAGGCCAACCTGGACTGCACAGTGAGTTCATTACCAACCTGAACTACGAAAAGAGGTCCCTGGATTCATGGAGCTTACAGAACATGTGGAGAGACAAACATAATAATTGCATAAATCTAACTTTGATAAATTTGATGAAAGGGGCACTTTAAGGACATCCAACTTGGGCTTCCCTGGAGGAAATCCTATGTAACACTGACATTTAAAGGAAAGCTTGGCTTGCCAAAGGGCTTGGGAGATGGTTTGATGAAAGGACATGAATCATTCTAGGCAGGGAGTAACACCAAGGCAGGTTCAAGGTGAAGTGGGAATCTAGCACTTTCTCTGAAGATATCACTAAAGACCATTAAGTTAGGAGGTGCTAGACAGTGACACACACACCCTTCCCTGTGTGGTGATGGTGGTACTGGTGAGGGAATTTGGGATTAAACGCTGGTCCTAGTTTTTGCCCTGTTGCTGAGATAAGTCCCCGTTCCTTTTTTTTATTTTTGAGATGGGGTCTTACTGCATTTCCCAGGCTGGCCACAAACTTGGGATTCTCCTGCCTCGGCCTTTCAAGTGGCTTGGTCTTTGGGTATGCAATGTTGTGCCCAGCTCAACATTAAATTTCTAGTTTTACTTTATTTGTAGTACTGAGAATTGAACCCAGAATGTTGTGCATGGTCCTTTACTATGTTGTGACTAGGTCTTTTACTACTAAATCACCTCAAGCTCAGATTTCTTTCTTTTTTTTTTTTTAATTTTATTTATTTGTGTGTGTGTGTGTGTGTGTGTGTGTGTGTGTGTGTGTGTCCAGCTCAGCCCACCAGGGGGCGGGGCTGGCTGGCATGTGGTGCTGGGGGATTAAACCGCTGTCCCTGTGATTTGCTAAGCTTGTTCTATGTAGGTGCTTTAGACCACTGAGCCATCTCACCAGCCCAAGCCCAGATTTCTGATTGTAAAACTTTAGTTGCTAATAAGCAGAGAACAGTTAGGAAATGGGCCCCTGGTAGGAAATCTTGTTATTCTTGACAGGAAGTAAGAAAGGCCTGTGATATAACTCAGTGGTACTGTGGGTTCAATCTCAACATTATTTAAAAAGGAGGGGCTAGGGTTATAGCCCAGTGGTAGAGCATTGCCTGGCATGTGGGAGACCCGGGAGTTGGGTCCCCAGGATCAAACAAAGGACTACAATAGGAAGTGAAGAGAACTAAATGGATTAAGAAGCTTTTAAGAGACAAAATGGACATAATTTGGTGACTGATTAGTTACGAAAGTGTTTATTAAGGTAGAGATAGAGTTACTAGAACAAGAAGGATGGTAGTGTCACGTGGAAAAAAAAGCAGGACTATAAGCATCTGATCAGGTCTTCAACCTGGGCCCTAGGCTGTAGGTGTGTCCCTCTGAGAACAACCCTTAGTATTTGGGACTGGGATGAACTACTCAAGGCCAGAGAAGGTAGTCCCCTTAACCTAGAGTCGAGTGAACGCTAGCAATAAGGAGATGCCTGTTCACCATTCCCTTCAGCCAAAGCTTTTTGGTCATTTTCATGTCTCGTAGATGTTTGATTCTTTTTTTTTTTTGGTTTGGTTTTGTTTTTGCAGAACCAGGGACTGAACTCAGCCCCTTGCGCTTGCCAGGCAAGCGCTTATTCTACTGAGCCATCTCCCCAGCCCTCATGTCTCATAAAGAACACAAAGCATTTTCCCATTTGTGATGCTGAAGACCCACATGTTAGGCTCTATATTTAGTTCATTCTTCCCTGGATCACTCAGTTCATACATGGCAAGGATCGGGTTCTGGGTTGTGAGACTCCATTATCTGACAGCAAAAAGGAGCGCTCAGAGGCTGTAGACTTTGTACAAAGACTTTCAGGCTTTGTACCTGAAAACCTGTGTACTGAAGGAAACAACTGGAGTTGTTCTGTGGGACGGAGACATTGGAAGGAGGCAGCCAAGCCAGATGGGAGGCTGGAGAGCCTTCTGATAGGGCAGCTTCATGTTTCTTAACTTACCACTTTTGTCTTTGCAGCTGTCAGACGAGTCTGGAAATCCTAAGAGCTACCTGCTGCACAAAGGCCGGCCTGGAGGCATTTGCTGAGCACAGAGAAACCCAAGAGGGATCAGCAGTTGTGTTTCTCCCTACCCCTTGATCTTTCTGATTTACCCAGAGAGACAGAATCATCCTCTAAGACTCTGTGGGCCCAGAACAGAACAAGGACACAGAGGACTGATGCCTAACAGTTAAACGCGCTCAAGACTTGAGCGTTAAAGGGGTTAACAGTTGCCCTAGCGTGGCCTTCTAGATCAGAACAGACTGGCGGCTTCTGTTGCCTTCCCAGGCTGTCTCTCCCTTAGCCTGCAGAATTGGTGGAACACCCTACTAACTACCACCTTCTTTTCCCCCCTGCTGTACCTGTGTTTTAAGTGTCAGTCTAGCAGCCCTTGGACAGTTCCAGAGAGCAGTCATCCCGTCTTGTAACAAGCCAAGGAAAGCCAAATGAGAAGGTTCATTTACTTCGGGCAAGTTGTTTAACCTCTGAGCCTGTTTATCTTCTCATTACTTGTCCAAAAAGCTCTTAAATAGAGGGGTTTTTCTCTACTTCACTTCTCTACTATTTTTCCTTCCCCAACAAGTATCTGCCCCTAAGGAGCTCAATAAAGGTTTGGTCAAGGGATGAATGGCCTCGCTCTGGTAGCTTCTATCAACTTTGGGAAAGAGCCAAAGCCCCATATCTACCCTTCTTTCCCTCTAGCTATACTAGGCCAGATTTTTGTCCTAACATTTTCTCTTGAAGGATTGATTGGAAAGTCAGTGTTTGATAGACTTCTGGATTTCTAAAACCTGTGCCCAGCTGATTTACACTGAGTTTCCTGAGAGCTGAAGGACTTCCAATACAGAACCATGATTTAAAGGGAAGGACTCGGTTTAGGGAAGGAGGCTTTCTTCATTTTAACTGTACCTGGGGCAGTCTTGTGAGCCTGGATTCATTCTTAGCAGGAACAGAGGCATAATGGAAAGAGACCTGGACAGCAGTAGATTTATATTGGGCAAGCTACTCAACCTCTGAGCCTGCTGGTCTTCATTGTTGATGACTATAAATATTAGCTGATGATTTGATTGTTTCATATCTGGACTGTCAAGCACTTACATACACTGTTGCAGTTAATCTTCCAGGCCAGTAGACTTTATAGATAAGGAAACAGAATTAAGGAGAATAAACAATTTGGCTGTGTAGAGAAAGGTGCACAAGTGCTTTGGAACAGCAGTGTTACTGGGATGTGAGATTTGAAGGGATGAAACTGGGTGAGCCCCAGGCAATCCTAGACCAGTGGTCACTCACTCTGCATTGTTGGCTCTAGACGCGTGGCTGGCCACCAAGGCTGTCTTTCCTTCATTGCTTCTTGAGTTTCTCCTGGGACTTGGTTTGCAGGCAGATTTCCTGCAGTTCACCAGACAAGGGAGGAGAGACAGGAGAGAAGTAGATGTTGTTCTGCTCACCGCAGAACCAGTATTCCCTTAGGATGTTGGGCAGACAGTCCCTCAATCCCCAGGTGCATATTATTTACTTGGGAGCCACAGAATTTTATAAAAAAGCTCGTAGGGCTGAAGCCAAACATCTAGACTCAAACCTCAGCTTTGCTTGTACTTCTGAGTTGACATATATCCCATGAAAGGGTAATAGCCCCCCTACGGAACGCGATTTGAGAATCGAATGTGTTTGAAATGCCTAGCATGGATCTCAACATGGTTCTGTTCTGTACTTCCCTGTATTTCAGACTGCTGGGTCTGAGGCCCTGTTACTGGTAACACTTCCCTTCCCATTGCTAGACGGGCCCAAGGGATCTTCCTTGGAGAATTCTAACCTGGTAGGCCCAGCCCACCCACCCAGCTGCCCTGCGCTTCAGTCACCACCTCTGCAAGTTGAGAAGGATGACGTCAGCCTCTGCAAGCCTCTGGACTGTTTTGAGCCATAAATATTTCAGAAGGGCCTTTCTCTGGCTGTTGCCAGGGTGATGGACTCTCAGGGGACTAGGGTGGGAGTGTGGAGGCAGGGCTTGCAGCCCTGGGCCTGGCCTGGAAGGGTGGGTATGAGGGTTGGCCGAGAGCCAGCGCTCTGCTTGAAGGCTCTCACTGCCTGCCTGCCTGCCTGCCAGTTCTGTCGGGTATGGCTGTTTCCAGGACCCAGCTCTGCCCTTGTTTTCTATTTCATCTTCAATCTTCATCTTAGATGTCTTTAGGCCTGCATGTTAACAGCTCAAATAGAAGGGAACATCTGCCTCAGTTCAGGTCATGGAGAAGACAGGGTACAAGAAGTTTTGTAAAAATTCTGTGAAATGCTAGACTGATAAGCCATAAATGGAGACATGAGGCCTCATTAACCTTTCTTTTTTTGTTATTTGTTAATTTTTTGTTTTTGTTTTTCTTTAGTACCGGGGATTAAATTCAAGACTCTGCACTTGCCATCTACTGAGCCATCTCCCTGGCCCCAAGTTAGTTGGGTTTTGGTGCTGGGGATTGAGCCTCAGCCCTTTTAATTTTTTGAGACATTCATGTTAAATTGCCCTAGAAGGACTCAAATTTATAATTCTGCTTCAGTTATGGAATTACAGGCCTGTGTCATTGCGTCCAACTCATTTTACTTTTGTTGAGTGGTCAAGGCTGGCCTTAAACTTAAGATCCTCCTGCTTCAGTCTTCTGAGTACTGGGATTACAAGCATGTGCTACCATACCCGACTGACCCTCTACAGTTCTATTAATGTGCCATAAATTTATCTAGTCCTGCTGGGCGAGGTGGTGCACACCTGTAATCCCAGCACTTGGGAGGCTGAAGCAGGAAGATTACCACAAGTTTGAAGCCAGCTGGGGCTACATGGTGAGGACCTGTCACCCCCACCAAAAAATACATATATATATCTCTTGGATCTTAGGTCGGCTGAGTCAAACTAGATATTCACTGGTCCAGGATTTACTTCACCTCACAGACATGATGCCTGTCGTCCACATTTGTCATTTTCCTCAGCACTGGGGAAGTTGGTCGTGAGCCAGCCAAACCCTCAGCCTTGGGAGAACTGGACAAGAAGTCAAGGACCCCTCCTCAGAGCCTCACAATTTGCAGTCCATGGGTCACGCCGAACTGCCTTTTCTGATAGACCTAGAGGCAGGATCCTGATGCCATGTGGATGATGCCCTGCACGCCGATTCTCAGATACAGCCCTCTCCCTTTCTCCCTTCCACACACTGAAGCCCCAGCTCTGTGTCCTAACTTTCTCAGGTCAAGCTAGCCTACCTGCCCTAACACAGAATCCCAAAGCACTAGGCCTAGTGGTTTAGAAGCACAATTGAGAGTCTTTTTGGCTTCAAATATGGAAAGCTGGGTTTCAGTATACGTCTAAGAAGAAAACCAGGGGGCCCAGAGGGGATACTTAAAGCCATGCCTCACCCTTATTGAAAAGCGTGGATCCGGTCCAGGATTCAGCGCCTCCACCTAGTAGTGCCCGGCTCAGCGTGCGCTGGAATCTCCTATTTCTTAGTATCTGGCTCCCTCTGGTGGTTGCGATGTGCACTGCAGGATAAGACATCAGCCGTGAGACTGAATTTCCCATCCCAGTGAGGATAGTTTGCTCTACAAAGAAAAACCTCTATCTTCCATCTGATCTACTATTCCATCAATCCTTACAACAACAAATGGTAATTATCTGAATTTTAAAGATAAAACCAGTTTTAAGAGGCAAAATCAAGCCCAAAGTCTTTAGATAATCTGAACTTTGGTGGATGAAAGACATACCAGAGATTGAACTCAGAGCCCTTCCACTGAGCTACATCCACAGTTGTTTCTTCTTAGGTAGGATCCCACTAAGTTGCTGGGGCTAGGCTCAAAGTTATAATCCTCCTAATTCAGCTTCCCAAAGTGCACCACCACACCCACCTTGAGCTGAACCTATTTTTGCAGTTTCCTCTTCCGTTCTTCCCAAGCACCATGGCTGTGTTGTTCTGCTTACCTCCAGCCCTTGGGCCATGCCTTTCCTTCTGTTTTCATTACCTCCCCACCTCAGCAGTAGCTATCAAAAGTCTATGCAAGGGGCTGGGGAGATGGCTCAGTGGAATAAGCACTTCCCTGGCAAGCGCAAGGGCCTGAGTTCAATCCCCGGTTCCGCAAAAAAAAAAAAAAAAAAAAAAGTCTATGCAGTTTTTCAACTAAAAAAAAAAAAAAAAGTCCCAGGTTGTGTACATATTATCTTTGTAATAATTAACCATTATAAGATGTAAACAGACAAATGTCTGGGTAAGAACAGGTGGGTGGGGCACTAAAGTTGAAAGCTGTGAAGGGGGACTATGTTTAAATAACACTTACTGGGCTGGGGAGATAGCTCAGTGGAATAAGCGCTTCCCTGGCAAGCTTAAGGGCCTGAGTTCAATCCCTGGTTCTGCCAAAATAAATAAATAACACTTACTATGCACCAGGCACTGTTCTAACCACTTTACACAGATTAGCCTCACCATAATCCCAAAAGGTATGTGGTATAATCAAAAAAATATAGTACATGCTTACACCTTTAAAAACAATTATTACAGTGGGGGGAGATGGCTCAGTAGAATAAGCCCTTGCCTGATAAATGCAAGGGCCTGAGTTCAATCCCTGGTACTGCAAAATAAATAAATGAAATAAAAACAATTATTAGTTTTTTGGATTTTTTTAAATTGTAGCCAGGGGTAATGCCACATGACTTGCCAGCCTGGGCTACGTAGTGAGTTCAAGGCCAGCCTGAACTACATAGTGAAACCCTGTCTCAAAACAAAATAAAGCACCCAGGCATATTGGTGCAGACCTGTAATCCCAGCACTCAGGAGGCTGAGGCGGGAAGGTCATTGAGAGTTTGAGACCAGCCTGGGTTACAAAGTAAGCTCCAGGCCAGCCTCAACTGCATAGGGAGACCCCATCTCAGACAAAAAAAAAAAAAAAAGCAAAACAAAACCACATTGTCATTATTCCCCCTGCCCCTGCTTTAAACACATTTATCTCACTGTCCTTGCCACTTTTGGAAGCAGTTCAGAGGGTCCTCTCTGGTGAATGTCTTCAGTTGTACTGTCAGAGCCAAAGTCACACTGCAGATGTGAATAAGGGGGACGAGCACACAGCAGAATGTTCTCGCAAGCTTGCCCTCCATGGATGGCGCTTGCACCTCATGAAGATGCTCTCAAAACAAGACTTCCAGAACGCGTCGGGAAGAGGCAGAGCAATGGGACAAGTGTGCTCCAAGTGAGAGTTTTTTGAGATGGACTGATGACAATGTGTCTTTATTTATTTGTATATTGGAAAAGGATCTACAGGGTGTTGAGGGTCTCACTATTAGATGGGACTCTTAGTGATCTGCCTGATCACAGCCTCCCAAGAGCTGGGAGTACAGGTGCACCACCACACCTGGTCGCAATTGCTGTCTCAGCATGCCCAGGGG